CAGTGAATATTCATCAGGTATACATAAAATTCAATTTCTATTCACAAAGAATAGTCTCAAATATACGACTTGGTTCGATATTGTCTCAGCATTAATGCCAATTAGCGGAGCATCCAAATTATCTTACGAAGGCTATGGATGGTCAAGTGATGATGATATTTATTGTCCTGATGGTGAAATAACAGTTGATGAAAATTATCGAGATATGAAAGGTCAAACTTCATTTGAAATCGAACTTCAACTTGATTGTGACAATCGAAAAATTAGTTATATCAATCAACGAACAAAGAATCAAAGAGAATTAAATATCGATATTACAAAATGTCCATTTCCATGGCAAGTTCGATTTTATCTATTTGAGATCGGAGATTGTATTAGATTGTTACATCAATGCTAAATACTATGAATGTTAATCATTATTAATACGATGATGTTAGTTTAGATTTTAATAAAAACAATGCATCACAGAGAAAATACATACGAAAATATCAGGAATATTATTTCTATTGAATAAAACGCTAAAAATATTTGAATACATTTTTATTATTATAGTGAGATGCTAAGAAAAAAAAAGAATTTTCTACGTTCTAATGTTAACCAATAGGATGTGGGGTGTGGGTGTAGGTGTTAACAAAAGTACCACATCCATGACTACACTCACACTCTTCAAGTGAAAAAGTCAAAAATGTTGAAATTTTCGGTTATAAATAATTTTGTTATGTTCAAGAGAAAGAGATGGTTGTTCTATATTTCTTCTAAAAATGAACAAAGAGAATATCAAATTATTTATCTGCAGAAGAAAGTATGAAAGTTATTTTTGCAAACACCTGTACCATTCTATAATATTATTTGAAAGTTCATTTCAATGGACAACACACTTTGGTACACATATAATACTCGTTGCTGATATTTCTTCAAAATTTTATTCAAATTTTTTATTTCAAAAGCTATTGACTTCACTTAAATGTATATATATATATATCATTGAAATAACTATAAAAATACTAGAAAATAATTTAAAAAAAATAAAATACATCGATCTGATTGAATCATTTGTATAATAAATAAAATCAAAATGATATATTTCTCAAAGTAGCTTAATACACAGTTGAGAATCATTTCATAAACAGTCAAAATATTTTAATTTTTATAGAGAATAAAATCAAATTGTATTTCGATGAAAACCTATCGTTAGGTATATAAATCTATTCGTAAAAATTTATAGAAAAACAATAAATAAATTTTTCATCTTGTTTTTGTCAGAGATGTCACAAACGTGTTCTAAATAACAAAAATTAAAGATGATATTTTATTTCTAAGAATCTAAAAGAAAAGAACACACATACGTCTTTATCTCTATATAAATGATCTATCACGTCTTTCAATTGCAAAAAGACACTAGATATACTAGAACTTATCGAATCTGTTTATATCTTGTATCTTTACAAATGATTATTTTTTTACTCAGATGATTCTGAGCAAAATAAGGTAATTGACTTAGATATTGGTATAAATACTGAGAAATGACAAGTTCACAACGTATCGTCATAATTATCTATAATATGTATATCCTATGTCTTAATATGCCCTGTCACGAAATCATTAGTTTTTCTTTTAGCTTTTAGATTCAATTATGTATACATTACATATATTCGTTTTTATTATTAATTTGATCTATATCAATTCCTTAGATACAGCATCTGTTTCTCAACATGGTCAATATCTTCTTATGCGTGGTCGTGTAATATTTCTTCCTAGTTTTAAAATTTCAATTGAATCTGATGCTCGATTAATTGTTGAATTACAAGATACATCACTTGCTGATGCTCCAGCAAAAGTTATTGCAAGAACAATTAGAAAAGCAGTTCAATTTCCAATATCATTTGCTATTAAATATTTACCTTCGAAAGTTTCAAACCGACGTATCTATTCACTCAGTGCAACTGTCCGAAATAAAAAGAACGAATTATTATATATTAATAACGTACATGTTAGAGTAATACCGATAGGTTCTCGTCGTACTAAATTCGTTAATGTGGGTGTGGGTGTGGGTGTGGGTGGGTGTGGGTGTGGGTGTGGGTG